CAAAAATAATCGTCGCTATTGTATCGTTAAAAATTATTTTTAAGTTATTTTATTGCTCACAAAACAAACAACCAATCATAATTAGAAAATTAAGTCTCGTTTAAATACTGGCCACCCTTCAACAGTCGAGACAGTGTTGCCAGCTAAAACACACAAAAATTTAACAAAAATAATATTCAAGTAGCCAAGACGTAGCCAAATATTGTAGTGCCACATCTCTAGCGGACATTTGAATGTTGCCGACTAGAACGGTCAGTTAACCGATGTGACGGTTAATTAATCGGGGGTCGGATAATCCATGCTCTACTGTATATGAAAGAATGAAGAGTCATTCTAAAGGTTAACTGACTCTCACAGTGAATAATGAAAACAAATGAGAAGCTGAAAAGCAATTTTTATTCACTTAGTGAAATTGGTTCACACTACAAAACATGGGAAGTAAAAATTTTCAATATGTCTAATAGCAGAACAATTTGCTAAACAGGAAAATTCATTGTGAATAGCATTACTTGTTACATATTATTTGCTCTTTTTGCATTTGTTGGTGATTTGCTGTCATTGGACTAATCTGAAGTGAACACACAATTCACTTTTTCACTTTGTTTTTTAATAATTACTTTACATTTTTTTAAAGTAAATAATGCATAAGAAAGGAAAAAGTACTACATGGTACTGAAAATGATGTATAAGTGTGAAATTGTATAAATGGAAAACATATATCTGAAGAGTTTTATAATCAAGAAAGAACCATGCAGAAAATATCTAGTGTATCATTGCAAAATGTACAACTGAGAAATGTGTAAACAGGGTTTGACTGTAATAAAATTTTGCTCTTTATATCTGGTAACATAATTAAGATTATATAGTCAGAATTCCAATTTCTGCTAAATAACTACTAGCAAGTAGTAACTAAGATGGATAATTTCTAATTGTATTGTAGTTCTCAATCAAATATGGTATTATATAAAAATGATTTTAATATAGTTCAGCCAACTTAGGTCACCCACCATTGATATTTTGCCAACTCTCTATTAATAAACATAATTAATTGTTAAAGATTAAATAATTAACAGAATAAATTTATTGAATCTTCTGTTAGGATTAAGAAACAACCATGCAGAATTTTTATAGGGTTAATTTGGAATTTAAATTTGAAAAAATGTTTGGGGTGTCAAGCATGGAATGAAAAAAAATGTGGACATAAATCAGAAGTGTTTAATGGAATAAACATTTTGGTTTTAGAATGTCAAAATAAAACATATTTAAGTTATTTGTGAGAAAGTTCAAATGAAATGTTTTAGAGAGTTGCATCATCGATTTTGGTATTGGAAGCAAGAGAACCATTTTTCTTTTGATGAAGTTTTGTAGACATAGGGTATGGTATAGATGGGTGGACATACAGGGTGTCCACAAAGTCTGGGTACATAAGGATTAACACATACTTTTAAAACAAAATAATTTTATTTGATTCTGATATTAATAAATTACATTTTCAATATGATTTCCATCATTTTCAATACATAATTTGATGCGTCTTGCAAAACTCAGGTGAACTCGATTAAATAGGTCTGTATTGCCGTCGATTTCAGCACAGTGACTGGTAATGGTGTCCACAAATTATGGCGCATCAAATTATGTATTGAAAATGATGGAAATCATATTGAAAATGTAATTTATTAATATTAGAATCAAATAAAATTATTTTGTTTTAAAAGTATGTGTTAATCCTTATGTACCCAGACTGTGGACACCCTGTAGATACAAAGAAGTGTTGAACTGCAAATTTTCTGTCTGCAACTAAATAAACATTCATCTTATGTTTTCATCATAATAATGGCTTCACTTTTATTTTTGTTCTTCAAAATCATAACTTATTCAAATTGCTGAAATAGTATAATTGATATGCATTGTGATCTCTACAAAAATGCCTCTTTTAGTTATGTATGTTTGTAGAGATCACAATGCATTTCAATGATATTTTTTGCTTTATTGTTTAATCTGAATCATTTAATTATGTTTTTCTTAAGTTTTGGAACATTATGCTTATAATTAACTAATGTAAACTTGATATAATTAATGTTTACAGTCATGTAATGTTCCAAAATAAAGGAATATGTGAGATTTGTTAAAATATAATTTATAGTTTTCTTTGTCAAAGGATATATGAAAAATTCAAAGCTTATGAAGCTGAACTTTATGAAAATGGAATTTATATGATGATTTTATAATGAATGCTATATGGCAGTTTGTCAGTATGCAATATAATCAATGATACCACTGCTTATAATATTTTTTTAATTGTTAATTGAACTTCTTATTCCATCCTTGTAATAATTACATTTGATATGCTTGCTCTTCATAAATATACAGTAGAACCCCAATTGATTTGTTTATCTGAATCAGTTGGGGTTGTTTGGATAACTTGTTTTTCGGATAACCAATTATGTATGAAAAATATATTAACCTATCTCATGTTGAAATTTTTCTCTGTTGTGTATCACTTTGCGTTGAATTTTCTTCAATGTTAGGCCTAACATAAATTTTTAAAATAATAATCATGGCTATTGTATCATTAAAAATTATTTCTTTATTTTGTACAAACAAAATAAATATATTGAAAAATATAAAAAGAAAAAAATTATATTTTGGAAGTTAATCTAGTATCAAANAAGTTATTAGCTCCTGAATCACCTGTTTTTATTATTATTATTATTATTAGTCTGTATAGTTTTAGTTTAATTTAAATTCTAGAATTTTCCTTCTTTCCAATTTCTGTGTTCCTTTGTCTCGGACTTCCGAGAACTCGCCTCACCCCTAACCCATCAAGGGGTAGCGTTAGAACAAAAGGAGAAGACGAGGCTGGAGGGGAAAAGGAAGAGTTTCTAGAAGCATTCTTAGGCCGGACTCAGAGAGAGACAGACGAGTGGCAACAGGCTCTTGAATGGAAAGTCAAGGAGCGCTGCAGAAGGAGATCATAAGAAGCGGATCGGTAGAAGAATCCGGTCGACGATTATAGAGAAAAAATCCCAAAATGGACCCAAGTTGTTCTAAGAGGAGAACAGACAAGAAAGACAAGCCGAGACAAAGAACGGTGGAGAACCAACTGGAAAATTGGGTATCCTTCTGTCCTTTAATTCTTCTCATTTCCCCTTCTACTTTTTCTATTTTTTGTTTAATTAAGTTAGGTTAAGGTTTACGCGTGCAAATAAATTGTCGGGAGGTAGTTATCAAGAAATTAACTACCGGTCTATTGATATACCTGGTCACTCAAGATTGTAGAACCATTTGAAGGAGAACAGCGGGAATCTGAACCTATTCTGTATATATATTTCAAATTCAGTGCGAAATTAAACTCGTTTAATTGGTAAAACGTGTATTTGTTTACCTGTCCACGTTGAACATTTCACACCAGTACATCACCACATATTTTATTTCACAAAGTAAGTTTTTATTATTTTATTTTTAATTGTATTATTATATCGTGGCTAACGATCGGAATGTAATTGTGATATTAAAAATGCATTTAGAGAAGTCTACGGTTTTTACTGGTTTATCGAATAAACGATACGAATGGACCCTAGATCATCACTGGTGTGCAATTGACTGATTGCCCCTGGATGTCGGCTTCTTACAGAAACACAGCTTCCCTATCATCAAATGTCACGGCACGCCCCTGTTTACCTCTTTTCTTGTTGAAAATTAAGCCAGTAGTACTGAAGAGACTCTGTCTGAATGCAGTGGCAGATGCAAGATACATATTATTAGAGGCCGACGTTTTCAATGTGAAAATGTGTATGTCAGATGTTCGGCACCACCTTCCTGTAAGCCTAGAAGTTTGACAATGGCGTTTGGAATGTCAGTGGCATCATTCTTGACATTCTAAATGCCATTGTCAAACTTCTAGGCTTACAGGAAGGTGGTGCCGAACGTCTGACGTACACGTTTTCTCAAAACTTAGGCTGCAACCTCTCTATTGACATAAAAAATTAATATTTCTTTGTTTGAATTTTAAAATATTTATGACAACAAATACAGTTTATCAGACTATCCACTTATAATTATTTAAGTATTTTTAATTTTTGAGTTAGTCATTTGAGTACTTCTAGATCCACCACTGTGACTGTATATATGAAAATAAATTTGAATACTATGAATACCTCCAATATTGATTAGTGATATTCATAGTACAGTTGATTCATCTTAAAGCAAACACCAATAAAGCAGATTCTCGTGTTAAAGCAAATTTTGCCATTGCCCTCACAAAACACTATTGTCAACATTAATTTTCATATGATAAAGTGGACAAAAATATTACCAGAATTTATTAAATCAAACTGTAAATTAACTTTTTACACAACCCTCAAGAAATAACCCTACTTCCAATTGTGGGTGCTTTTTACAGTTTTTGATGTGAACAATAAAAATTAGTACTATAATAAATGTTCTATTTTGAGTAGAATAAATTTTTTTCCTTGTGGTAAACAAAGATGGGTTTGACCTCCAATTATAAAGCAATTCAAACATTTTTAACTTTTTTATGTATATTGATTTAGGTATGTTGAATTTTTACAGTATATTTTATATGTTGGAATTTGCTACACAAATGCATTACAAGAATGCTATATTTTCATATCATGTTAAATGTTAAATGGTGAAATTGTAAAGAAAGTAATTTTAAATAAACAGATAATACATTGATGCAGAAATTAAAAATTAATAATAAAATTAATGTAATTGTATTTAATAAAATGTATAACACACTGATTAATGCAGTTTATTAAATTTAATTTAAAAAATTTAATATTAATAATTGTGATGTTTAATGGTAAACCTTTTTTGTTTGGAAATAAAAGCAAATAAAAAAAATTAATTTATAAATAAATGTTAGATTGAATTGACTTTGATTTAGTTAATTCAGTTAATTTAATTGAATTCAATAAATTTAATTCTATTTGAATTACAAATTTTTAAAAAATTTTGTTTTATTGTTTAATCTCTAGGAAAGGAGTGTAATCAGTTATATGAAGAAATTGTAAGTAATCGTCCTCGTACTAATTCTGCCAGTGATAATGAAAGATGGCCTGTGGTTCAGAATTGTGATCCAAGAAGAAGAAGTAACTTAACAGAGAGAGAGCGTTTAAATTATAATGAATATGGAAATTCAAAGAGTGAATACATGATGACCCAGAAAGTTGGACATAATGAAATACCTAATCAACATGCTGCTTATAAAGGTGACACTATTACACCTAGCCATTCGGACTATGGATATAATTCTGAAACGACTTATTATAGTGGACATTCAGATAGGAGCTTTTCGGTCCCTTCAGATTATAGTGGTTATCAATCTAACCAATCAAATCAATCTACTCCATTAAGTTATGATAGTGGATTTTCTTATAAACATGGTAGTTATTTAGTGAGTAGTCATATACCTCAGCAACAACCAGGAATGCCAAGCATGACTCATACAAACAGAATTTCTAATTCATCACGATGGGAGAGTGTTCATCAACATCAGAGAACATCATCATCCTTACCTACAACATGGGAACAAAGATCTGTAGTTCAAAGGAATGAAATCAAACAACAGGTTTCCTGGGAAAACAACACTTCATCACCTTCTTGGGACTCTCAAAAATTTAGTCATGGTCGTCAACGTCAGCCAACACAATCCGATTCATCATCATCCAGACATAGTCCCTTAAGAGGAAGTTTAGATTCCAGAATAGAATTGTTATTAAAACAAACTGAGGGTAAAGGTCCTGCATTTTTAGATCTTGGGTCTACTCTTGGTAGCCCTGCATTTGATACAGATTCTTCTACTTCAACAAGGGAGAAAAATCTTATGGGTCCACCTGAAGATTTGACTTTTGCTGAAGAAGCAGCAGCAGCAGCAGCAGCAGCAGCAGCACCTTTACCTTCAGTTGATTCATCTCCTATTCCTCCTCTTCCAGAGAGTGATGATTTACCACCTCCTCCTCCTGAAGAAGAAGAAAATAGTAATGAGATACTATCTACCCCACCATCACCTTTTCTGAATGCATCTGAATATTTCAAATGGGCTCAGATAACTAGAGACATTGACAATGGAAAACTAACATCACTTGAAAATGATGATTTCTTATATGAACCTGAAAGAAATGATGATTCTGACTTAAAATCATCATTGAATTTATTAAAGCTATCAGAAATACAATTTAAACATGTGTCTGAAATTGATAATGAGGATGAAAAGAAAACAACAGATTCTGAACTGAATAATAATGATCATATACAGAATTGCTCCCAAAATGATAAAGAATCTACTCCAGTTAGAGATGAACCTCCAGAGCCTCCGACAGAAGCAAATGAAACAGTTGAGGACAAAAATGAAGATAATGATAATGTCGATGATGATGATGACAGAATGTCTTTATCTTCTCTGAGTAGTGGTGGTGAAAAACTTGAAGTAAATGAAATGCCTCTGCCACAATGTATTTCTCATCAATCTACTCAAGAAAATTTAGTGTACAGACAACCTCCCATTGCTGGTTCAAACTATGTACCAATGTATCCTGTTCCAGAGCATGGCTATGCACCAGGTACTATTAATACAGCATTACCATCAACCAGCATGGCTTCACCATATTTAAATGCAACCTCTTCACATGTTGCACCTCATCCTACTTATATGAATCATCCAATGTATCCAAGTGAACATGTAAAATTAATGGCAAGAATGGGTATTTGGAAACCAGGAATGGGATCAGGTGTTTATGAATCCTATTATGGAAGTTATCCTCCTCCAGGTTACAGAGATTCTATACATTCTAGAAATTATTCAATTCCTCCACCACCATATGCTCCAGGGCAAGATTCTAGAATAGCAGCCATGTCTAGAGGAATGGGACCATATCCTCCTGGATCTAATTTATATATGTATATGCGAGATCAAACTAACTATAATACAGTGCCTACACAGCAAAATTCTATCAGTAACTATTACAGCAATAACTATTGGTCCACCACAGCCATGCATCCACAACAACCATATCATCATCGCCCTTGGCATCAAGAGCAGTCCATCAAAGAAGATCCTCACATGCCTACTGTTCGAGGTGTTTTGAATACTGTTGTATCTGAATTAAAGGAAATAATGAAGAGGGATTTATGTAAAAAAATTGTAGAAAATTCTGCATTTAAAAGTTTTGAACAGTGGTGGGATGAGCAAGAAAGAGAATCCAAGGTAAGATTATTATTTTCTAAAATCATTTTTATTAAAATAATTATAAAGCAATATATTATTATTTTACAGGAAGTAGATAAAAGTTAATAAGAAATTTCAATAAAAATTCTTTTGAACATGCTTTTATAACTTAATTGAAGAAAAATTTTTAAATATTTCTTAAAATTTACTTGCTTCCTATAAAAAATACTATAATTTTGTTTACAGTTATCATGGAATCTAGCTATCAACATTGACAAAATATTATTATTTATGGCTATAATTAATTTTTGATTTACATGATTTTGGATTACAAATTTCTTTTACAAGAGTCTTGTTTTGTTTGGGATTGATTTACACAAATTCATGTTTTTATGGATGATGAATGGTTAGGTTAATTTAACCCATTCCTAGAGCAACGAATATGACTTTTAAATCAGCAAACTATATTTCTCCAGTTTCTGACATTCCAAACATGGAGAACTACCAAATGCTACTCACTGCAGTGAATCCTCTGATTTTATTGCATTTTTCTCAAGTAGTGTACTCAATAAGATATACAGTTAAACCATGTTTATATATTTTCAAGGAAACTGAGAAAAATATCATAGAATTTTGAATTGCTTTCAGAGTGAATGTAGTCAACACATAAGTACTGCATGGCACAAATTAACACTGTACAACTGAATTTGTGCTATACAGTACTTTTGTGACAACTATATTCACTCTGAAATCAATCAAAAGTGGTTTCATGTATTGTACCAGTATGTAAACTGGTACATGGTACAGTTAGTGAAACTAATTGACATTAATTGTCTCCTCTGCCAAAACTCCAGTTACAGTAGAGCATCGATTATCCGACTCAATTGGGGACTCGGGTTGGTCGGATAACTGAAAAAATCAGATAATCGAAAAGAATGAAAAAATTACATTATTAGTATAGTATATTAGTATATCCCATGTAATTAGTATATTAGTATATCGCTATTAATTAACTTTGCGTTGAATTTTCATCGATGTTAAGCCTAACAAATTTTTTAAAAATCAAATCAAAGTTTATTTATAGTATAAGGCTTTCGCCTGTTACAAGGACGTGAATAACTTATACAGGATATATGTCCTCCATCATTAGAAATTTTTTCTATATATATAATAAACATTAGTTATCTAATATGTAATACATTATTTAGTAATTAACACTGCATTTTTTATTCATAAGTTGCTTCGTATAATTATATAATTTAAAAATAATATTGATGTTTGCTTTGTCAAGGAACTTATACATATCCGTTTCATTAGAACAGTTAACTAATCGACCAATATCTGATTGTTGAATGTTACAATTTTCACTGCAATTTTCACAAAGAATATGAAATTTAGATAATGTCTGACTACAGCTTGGGCATTTGGTGTGAGAGTAGTCTATGAATTTATTGTTTAAATTTATCCAGTTTTTGTTTAGTCTTAACTGTATAAAAAATTTTTTAACATTAAATGAGAGATTTGTCAGCATATAACTATTATTTGATGGGTAATTTAAAATTATTTTATACCAGCTTGTATTATTTCGTTTCTGTATGTCATCGATATCTTGGACAATAGAGATTTCCATTACTCTTTGTATTAATAAATTATTTTGCTGTTCACTGTTGTATGACTGATCCATAAATAGACTCATCGAAAATCCGTATGTGTTAAATATCTTCGAGAGATGTACTAACCAATTCCGTTTTAGATCTGTGATCTTTGATATAACACATTCAGTAATTTTGTTGTTAGATCATCAGCGTTTATAATTTTTTGTAGAAATTTTATGTACCTTTTTATTAATATGGTGTTTAATTTATATCTACTTAGTTCCATTCTTAGAGCACTGCCTGGTATATTGTATTCTAATTGGAAAATTTTGCGGATAAAAGTATTTTGTATTTTTTCGAATTCGTTGAATTTACCTGTAGACCAGATAGGAGATGCGTAACACATCGAGTTAATGATAATTGAATTAAAAAGTTGAAAATGGGTTCTCAGATTCTTGATTTTAGCTTTGCAGAATAACACTATCAGATTATTTATTAAATTTTTTGCCTTTGTTATTGAGCTTTTATATTGTTTGTCAAATGATAAATTAGGCGTGAATGTTATTCCCAAGAATTTAACTTCATTAAC